AGCTGCTCTGCTAAAACATAATAGCTGGCAACCTGGCACAATCTCTGCCTAGAGTGGGTAGAGGGAAAAAATGGCAAAAGTGAACAGAGACATGGGAGAGAAGGCAGGGAACTTTCAAATGCTTTTCAAGTCAATTCTTCACACCTCTTCTGAGTTTTAAAAAAAATAAAATCACTAAGAACTCCTAACTCCATTAAGGACAAATACATTCAAGTTTTCTGGCACAGTTTAAGATTTGTTATTAAAGTGAAGGGAATTTAGGAATACAAAAAAGTCCAATACTGATGTGTTCCCTTCAGCCTCTTTCCTTTCTTGATATTCTTACCACAACAGGTGTGGGTGGCAAACTTCACATTGCCCATGAAATACTCAGAGTGAAACAGGCCTTTCTGCTTAGAGAAGGGGGTAGCTGTAGTAGTCATGCTAACCTGCTTATATAATGGTGGGATGATGATAGTCAAAATAGAGAGATATGAAAAATTCGACAGAGGACTTTCGCTCTGATGAATTTGAGAAGGAAGCTACTGTGGGTACTGAGCAGTGGGTACTACCAGAAAAGACACTGGAGGTGAAGGGACCACTCAGCTTTCCTAACAGCACAAGCGGCTTCCCTCTACTCACAAGGAATACCTCCTTCTCTCTGAAATCTCTACCCTTCAAAGGTGGACTCAAGTCCTGACTTTTTGATAAAGACTTTCCTTATCGCTTCAACTCACTTGTCCTTCTCGGAACCCATACTGTAGCCTCTGTTATTTGGCTCATATCTGTTTGTTTCACATATTTTCATATCTTCCCTTCATTGATTATAAATTTCCCAAAGTCAGGGACCACACTTCGCTGCTTTTAATTTTTTATTCTAACAACTTTAAACATTCACAGAAGTAAACAGAACAGTACAATAAACCCCATTTACTCATCACCCATATTCAGTAATTATTAAGAGTTTTGCTTCATTTTCTGTGTATGTATATCATTTTTATTCTTTTGCTAAAGTATTCTAGTCTATATATTTTAGTATGTATTTCTAAAAGAAATATGGTGCCACAGACTGGTTGTATACCTCCCAAAATTCTGATGTTGAAGCCTCCTACCTAGTGTGAAAGTATGAGGCAATAGGGCCATTGGAGGTGATGGTATTTAGAGGTAGGGCATGGCTTTACGTCATGAAGTTGAAGCCCTTGTGAATAAGATCAGTACTCTTAAAAAAAAGGTCCCACTGAGCTTCTTTGCCCCTTCTGACATGCAAGGACAAAGCAAAAAGATGACTATGAACCAGGAAGTAGGCCCTGATCAGACCTGTTGGCACCTTGATATTGAACTTTCCAGCTTCTAGAACAGTGAGAAAAAAATTTTTGTTGCTTATAAGCTATTCAGTTTATGGTATTATGTTTATAGTAACATAAAAGGACTAAGATAAATGGGTGTTTTCTAAGTAAAAATAATACCTAAATAAAATTAACCATAATTCCTTGGTATTATCCACCACCTCATATTCATATTCAATTTATCCAGCTGCCTTAAAAACATCCTTTGACAGTTTGTTACTAATCAGTATCCTACATATCTACATACTGCATTTGGTGATTACATGTCTTAGTTCTTTTATTGTAAAGCAGCCCCTTACCCTGTGCCAATGATTGGATTAGAAACCCAATCATTTCTCCTAATGGGTGTACTCAAGCATATGTCTTGATTTGTCCATATGCTTGCCTCTAGTCTTAGGAGCTATGTTTTTCATTCATTTGCTCTACAAATATGTATGAGGAGCAAAATATGAACCAAAATTCTATAAAAAGCAGTGCTTACAATTACTGTGAATACACCTATAGCCCTGGCTTAAACAGGAGAAAGGACATAATTATACAAAATAGTAATTATTAGCAGCTGTGCTTATGTGCTAAGGGCAAGTACAGGTAATAAATTATAGCAAGGGAACCTAATTTATTTTAGGGATTAGATTAGAGGGAACATTTATTTTATATAGTTCAAAGTATCTAGTACAGTGTTAAGAAAGAAAAAATATCAGCATTTGGGGGGACAGGTAGTGTAAGTTGTCTTCAGAGAGTAGTCTTGCAAACTAAAGGACATATCACTACCTCATGGGCTCTGAAGATCAAATTCAATTCTCTTAGGAGTCCAAGTTAGAAGAAAGTGAAGGGGCAAACAAACAGGTGGTATCCTCTAGGTGAAATACTTTAAGAATTCAGGAAATGGCTACATGATAAGGTGAAAGAAAAAATATTGCATTTTCTGGACCACCCGTTGAGATATTAGAATAATGAATTTTTGACAAGGAACAGAATGTGTATTACTGAAATCCAGAAGAACATGCTTAGTAGGTCATCTGCCACACTGCTCCCGAGGGCTATTAAGTTAAAGCTGAGGAAGGAAAAATGTCCAGGTGTACTTTAAGATGGGATATAATGGAGGCTAAAAGAACAGAAAAACTGTAGCAGAGGAGATCAATGATAACACAGATCTTTATTTAAAAAGATTATTGAGCTATTTTAAAAAGATTATAAAATATATCACTTTTATACAATACTTACTACTTGAGGCCAATGTAAATGTCTGAGTTCTCCTTCCTTGCACTATATTTAGTCCAGTTTGGGGGGATTATGAGATTTGAGTATCTTGGAAAAGAAATATATTCTGCCATGGACTGATCTGCACTCCTCTCCTCAAAATTTATATTTTGAAGCCCTATCCTCACTGTGACTGTATATAGGAGACAAGGTCTTTAGTAGGTAATTAAGGTTAAACAAGGTCAGTGAATGGGGCCACAATCCAAAAATATTAGTGTCCTTATAAGAGGTAGAGCGACCAGAGCATACTCTCTTCCCAGCCTGTGACAACATAATGAGAAGGTCTATAAGCCAGGAAGAGAACCCACATTAGAACCTGACTCTACTGAATCTTGATCTGGGACTTCTATGCTCCAGGACTGTGGAAAATACATCTCTTGTATAAGCCATCCAGTCTATGGCATTTTGTTACAGCAGCACAAGCTGACTAATACACCTTCCTGATGTTTATCCCTCCCTAGTTCTGCTCAACTTGTAGGATACATCAGAGACTAAGGGTAAGTATATAAAAAAGTATATACCTTGACACGTAACCAAATAAACAAGTGAAAAATAATTAGTCAAGGCATTTCCTAAACCAAGTGAATAAAACAGAATGGGTGATTGTTATTTGCTTGCATTAATTTGTAAGCTCTTGAAATATCTTATTCTTTTCCATAAAAATAGGAGCTCTCCTCAGGTAAACCAGATATTGGTATTTTCAGCTGTGGTCAGCTTCTCTCTGACTCCCACTAGGGTTTGGTGATGCAGAGTAAACAAAGCTATAAATCAAATGCAATGCATTTAATACCTCAATGCTTTGCAAATTGATCTAGAATAGGGGTCAGCTCAAATTGCTTTTCAAGTGAAACTGTTCCCTTCCCCTGAAGGTTTAAAAGATGGCAAACCTAAAGTTACATTGGATTCAGATGTGTGGTTGCTTATTTGTGAGTAGACGGAGGCCAGGTTTCCTCAGATGAGAGTCTTCAGTTATTTATCTGGTTGGAGCCATGGATGTTTAAAAACGCACATTCTTGTAGCTGGCATTACATCTGCAATCTAGTGGGCAACTTTTCAAGAAATAAAAGCTACAAACAAAATAGCTTTAGTTCCATTCAGCACACTGTGGGAAATGGCTAATGGACAAGCATTACTATGACTGGCAAGGCGAGCTGCCAATTAATGATAGGAGTTGAGATTTCAACCACATGACACCAACACTTCCTAGGCTTATTTCACTAATTTGTCAAAGTAGGGCATTATCTGAAGTGAAAGAAAAACAGGTTTGGAGAGCACAGGGGAAGGAACTACTTAAAAGTAAAAGCTATCCTTCTTTCTCCACTGGTTAGTTATCTCTGTCTCGAGTAATTATGGTTTACTTCTACCATTTCCTGATACCACACTTGGTTTTACTGAGGGCTGCATTTCCTCCTTTTCAAATGACAAACAGAGAGCAATTTCTGGTAGGATAAAATTTCTATTGTTTTCTTATTCCTGTATTATCTTTTTCCATTAAAAAGAAAAGAAATCCAATGGTTGGATGAAAAGAATGCTTAAGAGTTCTGATGTGCTATCCCTTGGAGAGGCTACCTGACTTTGGGGGCCATATTATTTTTGCATTTGTCTCTTTCTTTTCCTAAAAAAAGAACTTCATGTGCTGTCTTCCATCTTTTCTTCATCTCTTAAATTCCAACTCTCTTATCTTTTTAAATAAATTAACCGTTAAGTGGGTCAATACTTGCAAACTCTTATCTTGCATAAAGGAAGAATAAATTTACTTAATTGTATAGTTTCAAATTAGTCCAAAATTCAATGAACAATGCCCTAAATTCTGTTTCAGATAGATTTTTCAGTATACTGGGTCAGAGCACAGAGATGTTGGGACTGGACTACCTGACTTCAAATGCTATTTCTACCACTTACTAGCTGTGCAGGTTTAGATAAATTAATTTAATCTTTTATGCTTCCATTTTCTGATCTGTAAATAGAGAATAATAATAGTTCTTCATCACATGTTGTTATGTTGTTGTATCTGGCAAGGGTAAAGCACTATGTGAATGTCAATTATTACAATATTATCTTGAAAAACAGCTAAGGAACATTACCTTAATCTCACTACTATTTGTTAGTACTATTAAACAGTTATACATGTACATAATAACAAGTGTATGCTTGCCTGTCTTAGGTCACATAAAACAATCATTTTGTTAATAAGATAAGGGAAAAAGGTAAGAATGAAATAGTTTCTTCAAATTAGCTTTAACCAAGCTAAGATTTTACCAGTCACATAAAGTATGTGACTTTTGGAGGCAAGACATTCTACTTAAATCTACATGCTTAAATGAAAAGAATCAAATAAAAATATATACTATCACAGCAGCCTAGTTTAACATACTGACATAATCTGAAATATTTCTCGGTGGGCAAAATACATACTTCTGGGGTGATCTGTTATCTACTTCAGCCTTCAGTCGTAAATTCTCTCTTACCAGGCCACCATTTTCTAATTTCAATTTTTTATTTGCCTTAAAAAAAAAAAAAAAGAGTTGAAAATAATTAAGCATACGTCAAAACAAAAGTGCTTTGTAAAAATTACAACACAAGTCATCTGTATTTTAGAGTAATAATATCAGAAAAGCAAATACTATAACATGGCCTTCAGAAACTTATAATTACCACCGTGAATGACTTCTGAAACTATGAATACAACTAAGTATTTATAATCCATATTCCATAAGGCACTTTGTAAGTCTCCTATTCAGGGAAATAAATTAAGTTATGTTAGCTCAGAGTCATTAAGGAACAACACTAATCCCAAACATGCTTTTCCTTTTCTTCTTCACATACCCTCAATACTCTAAGCAAAATAACATACTATTTACAAGTACTTGCAAACTAATGCTGAAGAATTAATTCTTGAGTTATGAGACTGATTTCTTGGTAACTATTTAAAAATATATATACATATATATATATTTAGTGATATTTAAATATATATATATGTGTGTGTATATTATGTATTTAGTGATAACAAATCTAATATGATTAAGCTACTTGTTTGCTTTCTTAAAAAAGGATTTAACAATGCCCTGGCTTACAAAGTCTGGGGTCTTTGAAATTGACCTAATATTTTCTAAAAAATTTCATGGATTCTTTCTTGATTAAAAACCAGTCTAAGTATGATTTTCTTTCTTGAATTCTAAGATACTTAAAAATTAGCCATCAAGACACTGGTTGCTAGAAAATCCAGAAGCTCAATATTGATTTTGGACAGCTGAAAAAAGGACTGTGCTTAAATTTTAGAGTTTCCTTAAAAGCTACTTTCTTTAGATTCCCTAGGCATTGTATTTATGTGTTCCAAAGAAAAATATGACTCTATAGACTAGAAACCAACCTCACTTACCTGGCAAGGGAAGTTCTTTGACTGGAACATTTACAATCAAAGTGAACTGGTCACAGGAAGGTTTAAGCTAAGATTATTTTATAAATACATTTCAAAAATTTGACCTAATGCTTTTGACAAATTTATAGAAATTCTCTATATGTTGCCCTTGGTAGAGTGCTTTGGCATCACAACTCACAGCAACCTCAAACTCTTGGGCTTAAGCGATTCTCTTGCCTCAGCCTCCCAAGTAGCTGGGACTACAGGCATTCACCACAAAGTCTGGCTTTTTTGGGGTTGTTTAGTTAGCAGGCCTGGGCTGGGTTCAAACCCACCAGCCCTGGTCCATGTGGCTGGTGCCCTAATCACTGAACTGTGGGAACTGAGCCAAATTTCCAGAACTTCTGATTACATTACTTGCCCACCCACATACAAAAGCACCATAATGACCACAAGCAGGTAAAGGACATCCTTTTGGGCATTAAGCCTAACTCCCTTACTTAGGTTCATTCAGGTTCCTTTGGGCTCTGAGCATCTGCTAATTTTCATAATGCACACCAATTCAGGATTGTGGAAGATTAATCCTTCAAACAACTTATAAACATAACTGGCTCTCTGAAGATATTGAGTAAAGCCATTTACTTCTTCATATATAGAGACAATGAATTAAACTTCAAGCATAGCACAGTAAGGAAAGACACTTAGTGAATGCTTTTTGATGATGACAAGCTTAAATTAGAAACTGATTTGATTTTCCTTGTCTTGCCCCCACTACCATACTGCTCTCTTTCATGGTCTCTCACCAGTTCTGTGGCCCCCTAATACCTCTCATTACTGGTCTCTTCAACTATCAGAGGTATTTTCAAGTTTAGGGGGGTTATGTGAGTAAAGACTACAAAGGGCAAAGTTCTGCCTACTTGCTTCACCTAATTATGAGGAAGACTTCAGCTAATTACTCTACATTCTCAATACTGACTGGGCCTCATGATGGTTCAGAACTCATCTAACCCAGGAAACATAAAAAAAAAAAAAAGTCAATTTCACTCATGCTAAGAAGTCCTTTAAACTTCTGTACTCCAGTATTTGATTTATTGTATGTTATTATCTTGTACTTCACATTTGAGTTTTGTCTCTGCAGTCCATGTGTTTTCTTTCATTTATGCCCCAGTTTATAGCCTATTACCTTATGCCATCACTAGACATCCAAAATGGGCTTATTAAATATCCTAAATAATCCTGAAGTCTCAGGGTACCTTTGGGTATTGAATTTAATATGTGATGACTGAAAGAGCAAAGAAAAACTAACTGTGCTTTACATATTCTTCTTTTACAGACATTCCCCAATACCCCTCATCAGCTCAGAGTATTCTCTACACAAAGCCTCATGCTCTAAGAAGCATTTATTGCCAAAAATTTAAAAGAAGTTTAATAACCACAAAAGAAACCATATAGTATAGACCTTACTATATGGTTAGCAGAGGCAGGTATTTAAAGGGGACAGGGCAGAATTGATATAAATTGTAACTTCCTGGTTGGCCTTCCTTTTAATGTTCTTTTGTCTTTTAACAAAGCAACAGAATGAGGTTGGCCATAAAGAAACTACACCCTTCTGACTTTGTAACAAAGTTTGTAACAAACTCAGTGCAATTATATCTGTAGTTTCTTTTTTCTTTGAATACAATTAAGTTCCCTTCTTCCTCTTATCTTGGCTTTTTCTGAGCACAGACAGCATTTATTTCATATATGGGCAATGGCTTACACCTAAGTTGCAGAATATTTCTGTTATTTAACCTCACTGAGGAACTAAGAACCAATATGCAGAGATATTTCTTTAAAATATCATATGGAAAATAAAATATTATATGGAGCTCATTAATAATTTCAGGAGGCAGGATTTAGTAATTCCACACAGGAATAATATTTTAAGGGAATGCAGATAGGTTGAATGGGTTGTTGTAGACCTAAGTACTACAAAACCATCCCTAATAGTACTCCACTGTGGATAAATTTGAAGTCAAGCTTATCATTTGGGTCAAGAGAACACTAAGACACTTGTTTGTAGAATCTAGTACTGATGATGTGGGATCTTAGCTCCTTTCCTAAACTGGAAAATCCTAAAGGTTTGCCTTTTTCATCTATGCTCGGTCTTGTCAGACAGATGAAGAAACAATTGAAAAAAAAAAATGAACCAGCCTCATAAGCCACAATATTCTTTTATATGGAATAGTCTAAAGCTGCTCCTTGCTCTCTGAGAATTAGTCATTAACCATTTAATGATCTATTTACAACTTACAAATCAGAGAATGGTAGTGCTAGAAAAGATATGGTCAAACATTTTCCTTTTATAGGTAAGAAAATGGGTATGTGTTTTTACGCACAAGGGGGAAGTTGCTGACATTTAAGCTTTAAAAAACTAAGGTAAACCACAAAGAGGGGGAAATAGAAACACATCCTTTAAATTGATGTTACTCTTCTAGAAAAAGATATAATTTCATATAGAAGCACTCGAGTCTCCAATTATAGTCACAAATGGAACCACTTGATATTTCTTGGCAGCTGATATCTAATGAGAAAAAGTTTTCTTACTGTATATAAATGTTTATCCAGAGACTCCTTCCCTCACAAATCATATGATGATGAGTCAAGATAATATGGCTATTTATAATTTTGAAGGTGCTTGAAATATAGAATTTTTAAAACCAGCATAATAGATTTTTAAAACCACAACTTACCTCCTTTAACTTATCCACATCATCTTTCACCTTTTCATAGATTTCATTAGCTGTTCTGAGTTTTTTCTTCCACTCTGCTACAGTTTCTTGGTCAATTTTACTTGAATTATCTATGACTAGATGTTTGTCTTCATTTTGGTTGTCCTGGATCAAGGTTAAAGGATCCAGAATAGTCTTGATCTGTGACTCCAAACTGAGATTTTTACTCTTAAGCTCTTCTACCTCCTTCTGCAAGCAATCTATTTCATCCTGGAAAAGCATCACATAGTGGTGAGGCAGACAGAGACACATAACACATACAACACACTAAACTGAAGCCAACGTGTTTTTGAATTTTATATTCAAAATTCTGTCGATACATAGATTCCTTATGCATAAGAACAGTTTTGGAGGGAGAAAGTCACATGGTTTCCAAATGTAGTCTGATAAACATTAGAATTTATGCAACTTTCATGTGAATACTTATGGTTTTGTGGTTTTAAGAAAATGCCAGATCTTTGATTTTATTTAAGATGTCATCCAGAAAACAAGATCAGTAACATGAATTCCCATAGTGAAGTAGATTCCATTTCAGAAGAAAAATCTGGGGCACATATAAGTGGTTTACTAAGGGGAATTACAAAGTACAGTAGACCCTTGGTATCACAAGAATTTGGTTCCAGGAGCCCCATGGATACCAAAGTCCAAGGATGCTCAAATCCCTGATATAAAATGGTAGAGTACTGTATTTGCATACCCACATAACCTACGCACATCCTCCCTACTTTAAATCATCTCCAGATTACTTACAATATTTAATACAGTATAAATTCTAAGTAGACAGTTGCAATATTGCATTTCCTTTTTCTTTTTTTGCAGTTTTTGGCTGGGGCTGGGCTTGAACCCACCACCTCTGGCATATGGGGTCAGCGCCCAGTCCTTTGAGCCATAGGCATCACCCTATACTGCATTTCTTATTTGTATTATTTATTTTTATTTTTCTCAAAAAGATTTCAATCCCTGAAATTTGAAAATTGAATCCAAGGATGAAGAACTTACAGATATGGAGAGCTGACTGTACAGAATTGCTATTTATTTATGTATAATAGATGTCACCTTAAATTGAAGTTTAAAACTTGTTAGAAAATAAATTCCAATTAGTTCAATATGCCAATGACCCTCCAAAAGATTAATCTGATTAGTATCTAAGAATGATAAATACTTATTAAGTGTGTAAGAATAAGATTTTAGAATTAATGTATCACAGATAATACTATTTACTATTTTAAGTTACAATACATTTCAAGTTAAACAGCATTATAAAATTTAAAAATCACTATATCAGTTTCAGTTAATATATTAATTTATAAATAGTGTTTATATATTCATATATGTGGAAAACACATATAGTAATGAACATATATTCAATCATCTATTTATGCTCCACTGCATTTCAAAAGTTTCTGAGGTAGCTGAGGTAATTTCCATGTACAAATTTTTGAGGCACCTGAGGTAGTTTTCACATATGTAGTCAAATATTTTGAGTCAAACGAGAAGATCAATAATCTCCTCCCTTTGGTCAACATAAAATGGCAACTGGGCTTAATGTGTACTACTCAAAAGTACATGTATTCATTAGCATAAGTTTACTTGGAAACTTACATCACTATGTCAAATCAGCCTGCTCATCCACATTTAAATAGTAATTAGGAAATAGTGTATTTTACACTAAAATCTAAATTTGTTAACATAAGGTACAGTATATACTCTGACAAAATTATCAGGCATATAATTATCAGTAAAATTATAGGAAGAAACACATGATGAATATAGGCGTCAGAATGACTTTCACAAGAGGATGTCCTTTACCTCCCAACTTCCTGAGGAGTGTATATAAAATGACATGTCTGTAGAGGTACAAATTTAAATTAAAAAAAAAAAGGAAATATTTACATCCGTTCCTTTTCTCTAGAATCTTAATTTCCCTCTTCCTTGGAACGTTAAGAAAAAATAAAAGCAAAAAACTCCTTTCCTCTATTTAAAATAGGAAATGGAAAAAAAAATAATTTATCAAGTAAGGTATTTTTTAACAGGCAAAAATAAGGTCTTATTGGATGTTTGTTCTATGCAATCCTGCAACAGAAGTAGTTCAGTTTTACCTTGAATTCATTGCTGACATTTTAATTACTGTTTACCTCATATTCTTTGTGTAGCAACTCAAGTCTAGTTTTCCGAAGGTGCTTCCTGACTGTATGGCTTAGCATAGGTTCACTTTCACTTGTTCCTCCTATAGAGAAGAAAAAAAATCCTAATTTTTCATTCTTAATAGAGCAAAAAGAAAATGAACCTTTTTCTTACTTCTTTATGAAGTCCCCCAGTTTAATATCCACCCTTTTCTCTTACATACACACTTAGGACTGCCATCTAGGCCTTTTCTCTATCCTAATCACGAGCAAATATAAATATCAAATGCCACCATAAGAAATACCTTCAGTAAAATACCATATTGTATTTACTTACCTATGTATCTTTTTACAGCAAATTTAATGGATGAAAAGGCTACATATCATTAATTACCACATTTGAACTACTATAAATTCTGAAAATTAGATAATTGTTAAAAATTTAACCAACAAATTATAAAAATATAGATCATATAATATATGTATGTATGTATAAATTGTAACTAAAGTATTTGAGCATGCCTAGTTACTGATAACAGAACTAGAAAGATTAATGTTTCTTTTCACTGATTCTAATGGGGCAGATACAATGGCTTTTAAGTCACAGCACTAACTGTATGTAATGACTTGTTATAAATACACTCAAAATGAATTTTTCCTGAGAGCTCTTCATTTATGCTGGGGTTATTATCTTTGAACTTCTCAGCATCATGATAGCAAACACATTTTATAGACGTTCTTTTTCAGGATGTTCTATCCAAACGCAAGGATGGATGAACTATTTTGCTTGAAAACATTATAAAATAACACTTAGATATTAGTGAAAACAGGAAAAGGGATATGAAGAAATGCTGGGGAGAAAATATTCAAATTATCTTATCATATTCTGCAAGACCTCCCTTCTTGATGAAGTTCAAAAACCTAGAACTAGAGACAGAGAGGTTAACCCAGCAGCAGGCAACACAACATTAGTCTTCTACCAGACTTCACCCAGGTTCCCAAGAAAACCAAACCTTGGGAGTCAGCTGTGATTCTTCCTTTGCTCTCTTATTCCAAAATCCTACTAGTTCTTCTTTTGCTCTCTAGCATGTATCTTCCTCTCCATTTCTTTTGTAAAAATCTTATTTAAGTCCATTTTCCCTAATTTTGGACTATTACAATGACTTCTTAAGTTTCCTGAGAGCTATTTTCTATACTTGGCTAATTACAGACTCACTTTCAATTTTTCCTAAAGAAAAAACAAATAAAAATCACTTTACTTTTTACAATCTAAAAGAAAAAACTTATACGAGCAGAATAAAAACCAAAAACTAAAAACGCTCTTTAAAGGTTTTCTTTCTCAAGGATCTTCCAGATCAAGTTTTATCTCCCCTTTCACCCACATTAGTATGACAATAAATGTTTTATTTACACTTAATCCAGACTCACATGCTCCCTTACCTGGGCAAGAGTCTCCTACTTGAACTACTCACACCTTATCTTGCCCCTACAGTCCCACCCATATATTACCACCCAAGTAATATTCTTAAAGCTTATTTTGGGTCATACCACTCCCTTGCTCAAAACTATTATGCCCACTTCACCATTGTCACCCATAGAGCAAATCCTTGATTTAGTTGTCATTTAAATTTCTTTACACTAAAGTCTCAATTTATTTTTTCCCTCTTGTTATTAATCAGAACAAAACTATACTACTGATCATTTCTAAAAACATATTATGTTTTCCCATGTCTAAAATCTTAGTCCATGCTATTCTCCCTGTAGGAAATGTCCTGCCTTATCCTTAAATATCCATTTTAAAGGCCACCTACTTCATGTAGCCCTACTCAATGTTCATAGCTCAACTTTCTTGGGTGAACTCTGAAGGGATTTTTTTTGGCTCTTGGCATCTGCTACTTTTTTTCTAGCCCACATGCACAGTCCCTATTAGAATCAATAAGGCTGTAAGGGTTATTTTTTCTTAGCATCACTATGTGCTTCTTCTCCCTCAGTTGTTTCACATACGTTATACAAATTACTCATCCATCTACGATGATGCTGGCCAGATAACATCATTGAAAACAGTCTATTTCAGTCTTCACCAAAATATACATTATTTGTGAATTGTTTCAAACCTATTCCTATGGTTATACAGAAGAGGCCCTTACCAATAATCTCTTTGCAAGGATTTGCAGGAGTGATTGGGACTCTGCAAGCTGGACACTGGCTATTATTCTTCAACCACAAATCAATGCAAATTGAACAAAATACATGGTTGTTGATGCATATGACAGGCTGGCGAACCTTTGAAAAAAGAAAGATTACTTTTAGTACAGGACAACAGTCATAACTAGAATGCTAACTGGTTTAGTTTAGAGCAAACAAATGGCTTCTCTAGAAGTGGCAGAGCTGGTGTTTAAGACAGTATCTAGGACTTCTAAAAACACCACTTCCGTGTACCACATTGTTTCTTACGTATGTATAACAGAGACATTAGCTGAGACAGTTGGTTATGGAGACTGAAGCTTCTGAACATATTATGAAATGTTTTATTTTGTACTTAACCACTTTCATGCCAAAAAAAAAAAATACTCATTTTGAGCTGGGACTATTTCCCTCAAACTGTTCTATTTTAGAATTATGAAATGGCAGGATTAGAAGGCTTTTTAAAGTCATTTAAATCTCAATCATTCATCTGATGTTTGAATCTTTTCCTTAATTCATTCCACTCTGTTACAGAATATAGCAACCACCCATTAACCATTGTCATCTTACTAGACGTTCCCCCAAATCAAGTGTCACAAAAACTTGTTTTAGATTGTTTTACTCAAAAGCACAAGCCCCACTCTCATGTGGTTTATAATCTAAACAGCAAACCACTCTGATACAAATACTGACAATATAATATACACCAAATACACAAATCCTTGACTCCACTTAAACAAGTACAAATGCCTTACATTTATAATCATATTTTCCAAACAGCTTGCATATGCACCATCCATCTGTTCCCCTGCCTCTTTAACTACCACAACCCTGTGAGGTAGACAGGGTAAATATACTTTACAAATAAGGAGACCAAGGCATGAAGAAATTAAGTAGCTTGCTTGGGGTTAACTGAATGTTTTGACTTTGGGTAGTGGTTCTGTCAGGAAGAAAACAAAAGAAAGGAGTTGCTTTGGTTTTCTTCTTAGCATTTATATCATCTCATATTATCTGTTTGTTTATTTACATATTTACTGTATATATGTCTTTTTAGAAATGGAAGCTCTGTGAGAGCAAGACCTTCTTTAGTCTCCATTCCTAAATCCTTATTGCCCAAAGGACAACCTGGTACTTAATAGGTACTCATCAAAAGTTTGTTGAATGAGTTAACTGCTATTAAGACAGTACTCAGAATTCAAATAGGTGGGGAGCTTATCAAAAGGGAATAATGACAATATTTTTCAAATAGAACAAATTTAACAATAGAAACAAAAACAGCACAGAAATGCTTAGGCTTTTATTTAAATCTTCACTGTGAGATTTAAAACATTTTATAGCCATTTTCATTTCTTCTTGCTTTCAATATTTCCATGTCCTAATAATAATAACAGTATCAGTGTAGAGCCCTTGTGTAGTAGGGACTAGAAGACTAGAAGATCAAGCAGTGTTAAGTAGAGGGAGAATGACGAGACAAAACTATTATACTTTGCTCAGAGAAAATGCTTGTGCTGCTCTGCCTGACTCAGAAAGATACTGTGAATATTCATTAATTTGAAAGAGGTTCCTACTCTCACCAAGAATTCATAGATGCATGGCTATTCATGACAGATAGGTAATCATTTGAGTCTCACAAGGAGCTCTATGGCCTTAGTCTTAACTTCCCAAACATTTTGGTGCTCCTTTGATTAAGAATATTAACCCAAGAGAACCAAAGACAGAAGATAATTGAGGATGGATTTAAACTTCCTCTTGGAGAAACCTATTTCTAATTCATTCAGTTTGACTAGTTTGGTAAGATTCTTTTTGTTTTTAAGGGGCCATGAAAGCACAGTGTCTCAAACTCCTGTTCCAAAGTGCTCCTATCAACAGCCAGGAATGAAGGCTTATTTGCAAGGTATTACTGGTCACAATATCAAGTGGCAGATAAGCCTGAACTTTCTTTGCAGGTTTGTTTGCCTTTTCTTAAAAATGTATGTGATTTGGAAGTCTAGGCCATAATATATTCATGTATGCTTTAATTCATCTTTAGGTCATAAAATACATCAGCAGCACAAAATCTTCAAACTACCAGGAAGATATTGCTAGACTTATTCTGTAGCTTTCCCAGAGAATACACACACACACATACCCCATAGCCCTGTAATATTCCTAGAAGTTAATGTATACCCTCAAATTAAGAAACTTCAGTTAAAGATCCAATAGTTACTTCCTTAGATTGGTACCGACTTTTAGTGATGACTATTTTTGTAAAGTCATGAACTCATCTAAAAATAGACAGAAGTCTACACTCAAGACATAAAACCATGCATACTGTATAAGAGGATTCAAAATTCCCCCCAGTAGGATCTCCCTATTAGAAATACATTTAAAAGCAATGAGTATTTTCTATGTATATTTTGCTCCCACAACAAAAGTTACTCTAAAAAACAGTTATGTGCAACTCAGTGAGTGGTTGGTGTTATCATTTACTAAAGTGGCAAAGACAGAGGAAGACTAAGTTTCACACATAATAGAAATCAAGAATTCTGTTTTGGCCATGTTAAATTTGTGATGATGATAAGCCCACGTTAAGCGGACAAGTTTAGCAAAGCAGGTTCTGAGAGACACTGGCATAAAAGATAAAGGCATTTAAAGCTATAGGACTGAAAAAGATCCCCTGCATGGACACAACAGCTAGAGAAAAGAAGGTGTTCCAGCAAGAGGAAGAGGAAGAGCAATCAGCAAAGTAAACTGAGAAGGAAGTGGCCTGTGATGTGAGAAAGGAGAATATGGCATCACAGGAGTCAAGAGAAGAAAGTTTTTCAAGAGAAAGACAGTGGCCAGGTACATAAAATATTGATGAGGGACTGAGTTTGATGTGTACTGAGATGTGACTATGGGATTTAACTGCACGGAAGTCACTGTGATCTGTTACTGACAAGCACTGTTTCAGTGAATGGTGGGGATGGAAACCTGACTGGAGATTGAGAGACAATGAAAGATGAAGTGAAGACAGAGAATACAGGCAATTCTTTCATGTTTTACTGCAAAGGAGAGAGTATAAAAGTGAGACCATGGTTAGGAATACCAAAAGGAATGATAAGGAAAAGAAATTAGTAGTGGAAAAAGAGAGTAAGGGCATTATAGCCAAAGATAGCAAACTCCCTAAGAAGGCAACAGGGAAAGGGGATCCCAAGTAAAAGGGGAGATTCTGGCTTATCCAGGAGCCAGGATCTGTATTCCTTTGTAGCAGAAGGAAAAACAGGGGATGTGAGGACAAATACAAAGGGGTAGAAAGATCTGCTGATGGAAAGGTGTCTCAGGTGCTTATATTTCGTCATTAAATATGAGGTGAAGTTATCAGCTGAAAATGAGAAGGGAGATAGAATATAGACTCAAGAAAATATGAAAATAAAACAATTATTTTGAAAAATGAGAAAGAAAATTCAGTAGGGCCATGTAGCTGCATTGCTGCACACTGTTGAGCTCCTATTTGAGGTCTGTGGTTCTGAATGCAAAGTAAAACCAATTAACATACAGTGCTGCTCAGGTCAGGGAGGAGGAGATGAGTAGTTTGGTTTACCCAGAGTTAGAGTTTTACCAAGATGGAAAGGAAAAACAGGGACTAATGATAAAAAATGACCAAGAATAACAAGGAAATACAGCGATCAATGTAAATGATAATAATGAAAAAATGATGGACTGACAGATAGGTCTCAATAAGGCTGTAGTAATGCTGGAGAGTAAATATGATAGAAACAGGATCAGAGTAAGATGCTTACAGTTAAGAACTGGAGGTGGTACAATGGCTTTCTCTAATGTTTTGTCCTAGGCCATCTTATCTGATGTGTTCTGTTTTCTCTCTTAACCTCATGTGTCATATGGCATTACTATCTGTTCTATGCTGACGACTCTAAGGTTCCCTCTGTCAGTGGAACCCTCAGTATGCAGCAGAGGGTCAATTCCAGTTCTACCATTTACTTAGCCATTTGTTCCCCAGTTTATCTGCAGGCATCAGTTTCTCCCTCTGAAAATCGTGGCTTAATCTTTTAAGCCACAATGTACCCTTTTCATTCAAGTGTTAAGATTAAATAATGGATTAGTACAGATAATTCCATAGAAATTCCTAAAAAAAAATAACAATAACCATATCACTATATCCACGTGCCCAGAGCCAATTCCATATAAGGATCCTGCAGCTGCCTCAACCATAACATGCCCCAAATCAAGCTTGGTTTCCTCCACACTCATTCCTTCCTTCTTGTACTCCTTCCTAAGTTAATGAGATCACAACCTTTCCACCTGGGTTAGAACAGCTAGAGCTGTCTATGACTCATCCTTTTAACTTATCCTCACCATCCAAATTGTCACCAGATGGTATTATATATCAAATCTAAGAAGCCACAGATTTTAAGATTTACCAATATTTTATGTGTTATAAAGAAAAAAGAATGAAAAACACTGTCAAATATAATTGTAAGATACAACCAGATTTCAAAGATGCTATAATTTGAAAAAAAAAAAAGTTCATCTCAGCATAGCCAAAACATGGCAAATCTATCTCTAAGTATTCTTTTACCTATTATTTATCCTTGTTATCATCACCCAATAATGAGTTTGAGTTCTCATTGCTTTACCTTTGATCTATTACCTTCCAAATGTTCAAGTCAGTTTCACACTTAGGCCAGTTACTGCTCTAAAATATGGATCAGTAGCTTATACTGCTCTCTTGCCAAATAGCAATGCCTTTTTCTAGCTTATAGTCTTAAATACAGCACTCAAAAAACAATCTAGTTCTTAAACAGCTATTTCCCTTTATCTGCCATTTCACCATCTACCTCAACCTATACAGATCTATTTGGTATTCACCAAAAAGAATACAGACAGTGGGTACTTCCTGTGTATGGAGATCCCATTTCTTACTTTGACATGTCCTGCTGGTCTCTCTACCAACCTCAGACAACCAAAATAAAATCTCTCCCACCTATTAAAATGAAGATCAAATGTCACCTCCCTTACAAGGCTTTCACTTATTTTTTTTTAAAGTAACTGAGTCTTTGTCTAAGAGGGTACTTCTTGTTCATTTATTTAATGTTCACCCCTTTCCGCACTGTACTATGCTTCGGAAAATGTTTACATCCTGTCTTCCTTATT